CACAAGTTGATCCACGTGATCATATTCTTAGCCGTGTGCGGTGCCCCCTTCCACCAAAGTCCTCGATAATATTGTAGCGGTGCTTAGGCGAAGCCCTGCGACGGTAGTACATCAAGATCGTCACCACGCCGTAGTGCTGACGGAACTCTTCCCCGACACTTTGCTGGATCGGAGTCCGGGGATCGTCATCGAGCTGAACGTGTGCTAAAACTCGGAGGTGCCGTAGTTTCGGTGCTTGATCGGTCGGGCCGTGAAGACGTACGACTACATCAACCAAACGCTTCCGTTGTCGATCTACAAGGTACGTAGATCACACTCTCCCCTCGTTGCTATGCATCACCATGATCTTGCGTGTGCGTAGGAAAATTTTGAAATTACTACGTTCCCCAACATCTTCATCATCCCGGTGCTCTCCATGACGAGGAGGGAGTAGTTCACCCTCGGGGATGAGGGTATGTACCAGTAGCTATGTGTTTGATCTCTCTCTCTCTCTCTCTCTCTCTCGTGTTCTTAATTCGGCATGATCTTGATGTATCGCGAGCTTTGCTATTATAGTTGGATCTTATGATGTTTCCCCCCTCTACTATTTTGTGATGGATTGAGTTTTCCCTTTGAAGTTATCTTATCAGATTGGGTCTTTAAGGATTTGAGAACACTTGATGTATGTCTTGCATGTGCTTACCTATGGTGACAATGGGATATCACGTGATCTACTTGATGTATATTTTGGTGATCAACTTGCGAGTTTCATGACCTCATGAACTTATGCATAGGGGTTGGCACACGTTTTCGTCTTGACTCTTCGGTAGAAACTTTGGGGCACTCTTTGAAGTTCTTTGTGTTGGTTGAATAGATGAATATGAGATTGTGTGATGCATATCGTATAATCATACCCACGGATACTTGAGGTGACATTGGAATATCTAGGTGACATCAGGGTTTTGGTTGATTTGTGTCTTAAGGTGTTATTCCAGTACGAACTCTAGGATAGATTGAACGGAAAGAATAGCTTCGTGTTATTTTACTATGGACTCTTGAATAAATCGATCAGAAAGAATTACTTTGAGGTGGTTTCGTACCCTACCATAATCTCTTCGTTTGTTCTCCGCTATTAGTGACTTTGGAGTGACTCTTTGTTGCATATTGAGGGATTGTTATATGATCCAATTATGTTATTATTGTTGAGAGAACTTGCACTAGTGAAAGTATGAACCCTAGGCCTTGTTTCAATGCATTGCAATACCGTTTACGCTCACTTTTATCATTAGTTACCTTACTGTTTTTATATTTTTAGATTACAAAAACTTTTATCTACTATCCATATTGCAGTTGTATCACCATCTTCGCCAAACTAGTGCACCTATACAATTTGCCATTGTATTGGGTGTGTTGGGGACACAAGAGACTCTTTGTTATTTGGTTGCATGGTTGCTTGAGAGAGACCATCTTCATCCTACACCTCCCATGGATTGATAAATTTTAGGTCATCCACTTGAGGGAAATTTGCTACTGTCCTACAAATCTCTGCACTTGGAGGCCCAACAACGTCTACAAGAAAAAAGGTTGTGTAGTAGACATCAGCCGTCCCGTCGGGAGGAGTTCACCGGCATCGCAAAGAAAGAGGAGTGCATCGGTGTCTACGGACTGAGAATGAACTACAAAAGAAAAATCGCAGGTGGAGCTTGCGAAGCCATCAGCAATGGCCAAAATTGGGGTTAGTAAGAGAGAGAAGGTCACGGAAGGAAGCTAATCGTTATCTAGCCAAACAAGGAAATACACAAGCCAATTTTACCCTTTTCCAAACCCAAACGTGTTATTGTGTAAATCGGTAATCCAAAAATCAATTAGCAAAACTGATTTTGCTAAAATCCTGCCACAAACTCGTTTTCCATATACCGCCTGCTATCCAAAAAACCACTTAGGATTCCTCGACCGTTGCAGCTCCTACGATGTCCTCTTGTCCTCTTTATGTCCGAGTGGTGATCCATCATCCGAGTGACATGTAATAGTCCGAGTGTCGTTGAGCTGTCCGAGTGAACTTCCTAATGTGCGCATCCAGATGTTACCATGGTCTAGGGACCTATCTATGCTGATGATGGACCCTATGTGGGTCCTAAATGAAGAAGGGTCCTTGACCCTACCTGAAATAGATGACCACATCTTTATCTTTACCTACTAATAAAGCGGTTATCGCTTCTGGCCGTCCGTCATTAAAATTACCCTTCAAGTTGGTTAAAATTACCCACCAATGCCACCCGCAAGTGGAAAAAAGATTCCTTTTTGGGACAAGAAACGACACCTCCTTCGTTGTTTTATACGGGCGCGACGAGTAGAGGTCACAAAACGAGGAGCAGTGGAGTGGTTGGCCGATTGCTCTTTTAGCGGTGAGACTAGGGTTCGATCCACAATTTTTATCTTTCTTTTCTCACACATGTCCTACACATGTATGCGTTCATGGGCCGGCCCATGTGTGGGGCTTCACTCCCCTGAGTTTTTTCATTTTACTTTTTTGTCTTTTCTTTTCTCATTCTATTTTCTTTCTTTCATCTTTAAATTAATTTTGGATTTTAATATTGTAAGGGTTGCGAGTTTAAAAAAAATAAGAAATAAGTCTGATAAAAAACATAAAATATATGTGAATTCAAACATGTTTAGAAAATCATTAAAAGTTTGCAGATTTAAAAAATATTGGTGGTTTTGCAAAACTGTTCGCAAAATTATAAAAAAAATCACAATTTGTAAAAAATGGTCGGGAAATAAAATCATGTTCATGATTTTGAAAAAATGAACGTGTATTCAAAACATATTTGGGAATCTGAAAAAAAATGTCCATGAAATTTTAGAAAATGTTCACAATAATAATAATAAATAGTTTTTTTAATTTTGTTCCCCAATTTAAAAGAAAGTTCACCGATTCAAAAAATGTTTGTTGAGTCAAAAAATGTTAATGAATACGAAACCGGTTCATACATTCAAAAAAACGTAAACAAAACTAATGTTCATGATTTTTTTGAGAAAAACAAAAATTAAAAAAAAGTTTGTCGTTTCGAAAAACTGTTCACTGATTCAAAAGTATTTTATGTCTAGGATCTGGTTAGTCTTTCGAAAGTCCTTATATGTCTTGGCGTTGGGAGTAGCTCGTGGTCAATGAGATTTGTTTTAAAAGTTTTAAACGTTCCCTTGCGCAACATAGTGACAAGTGTGGCATGCACTGGCAAACTCATAGCCTTAGGATTTACAACGTCGAGTGCATTGTGATCACGTGAACATCGCGACCATCATCGGCTAAGGTGAGAAAAAAAATGGCAACATGGTGAACCACTATGTGAAAATAGAGTACGCTCATATATCAGGATATCGAGTCATACTTATTTGGCTAGCCATAATTTTTTGTTTTTCATTGGAACGCGCGGGCATATTTACTAGTCATCTATCTATATACGATAGTGGGCGGCGGGGTAGATTCAAGAGGACGGACAAGATAGCCCGACGATGAATTTATCACCCCCGTTGCACTCCATTGAAGAAGCTGACTTGCAAGGCAAGTAGTAGGAATTTGAGCACCTTTTTTTTAGACATACTAGGAGTTTAAGCACCTACAGGGCCATCTCAGACTAGTAGAGTTCTACGCTTGCATGCGACACGACGAGAATAGAAAAACACAAGTGCGCAAAAAGAAAAAGAAAAACACAAATGCGCGACGCATATGTGGTGCAGGCATCGGGGACCGTTGGCAGCGGGGGGCAGAGCAAGGCTGGACAACCGTGTTCGCACCTGGCCGCTGTCGTCGCCCGTCAGCACTCGAGAACCTCAATCATTCCCCATTCCATCTCCCCTCCCGTGCTGGCTGCCAGCCCTGGCAGGCAGCCGGCTCTGATTTGTTTCACGTTTCTTCAGATTTTTAGCCGGTTTGACCACAACGCAACGGCACGAAGCAAAACCCGGCGGTCTCTGTCGCGCGGCAGGGAAAGGCATATGCCTCAGAGGCTCAGACGGCCTCGGCAATTATTCTCTCCCCGATTACGATTAGCAAAGCCACACACCTCAAGCCAAGCCAGGCCAAGCCACCAGGTCGTCAGTCCACCACGCCTCGCCGCGGGGGAGAAGGGACCCGATTCGATTCCACTCCATTCCATCCCCCCCGTCTCCGCCCGTCCGTTGTACGACCTCCCCCGCCCCGATTCCTCCCGTTTTCTCCGCGGCCGCTGCCCGGTCCACCACGTCGTCGTCGTCGTCGCCTCGCGCCTCGGTGCCGGTCGCGCCGGCGGCACGCGTGCTGCTGCTTCCACGCGTCGCCGCCTCGCAGCGTGGGCGCCAAGGCGAGGCGGGGGGCGGGGGCCGGGCGTGGAGGAAGGATAGGGGGCACGGCACGGCTGGGAGGAGTAGTGCACGCCACGGCGGCCCGGCGGTGGGGTATAACTCGCGCGGTGGCGGCGCGCTGAGCTGGGGGGTCGGCTGCGCTGGTGCGGGTCAGCGGAGCAGCAGGATGGGGCAGGCTCCGGAGATGGCGGCGCCGCTGCTCCTGCGGGTGGAGGACGCGGACGCCGAGTGGAGCTCCAGGCCGCATCGCATTGCTCTCTTCGTCGAGCCTTCGCCCTTCGCGTCAGTCTCCCTCCTCCTCCTCCTCCTCCCAACCCAAGTGTTGACGCACAAGGCGCTGCCGGATTACAGTAGTATGCTAGATTGGATCAGATCAGATCGAGACGCTCTGCGCGCCGCAGTGCACAATTGGGTCGCTGGATGCATGATTTGTTAAATTTGACGCGTCTTTGATCTACCGAGAACTCCCGAGTCAATGCATTTTTCCTTGTTGCTGTGTCGCAGCTACATCTCCGGCTACAAGAACCGGTTCCAGAACTTCATCAAGCATCTGCGAGAGATGGGCGATGAGGTATCCAATCCTTGTTACCAACCTTGTCGCTGCTTGACCTTGAGTTGACTTGTACTGTTTTCAAGATCGTTGTCCTACCTCGGAATTGACGCCTGCTTATTCGGTTCAGGTCTTGGTCGTGACCACGCACAAAGGAGCTCCCGAGGAGTTCCATGGAGCAAAGGTCATTGGCTCGTGGAGGTAATCCTCCAACACAAACTATCGTCACCCTCTACCTCAGCGATCAATCCACTCCAGAAATACCAAACGATTCCAAAAACTACTTTGCTGAAAGCACAAAACGCAGGAAATATGGTGAAACATTTGCAGAGGAGTCTCCTGTAATCAACTGCCATGCTGACTACAACATTTGCTAGATATATTGTGAAATGGTTGTTATATTTATTTTCAAGTATTTTTCCTAGCCAACTTTCTAAATTTGGAATGTCGTCAGGATTCAGTTTGTGGAAAACTTCTTTATTTTGCATGTACTTCGGTTCCTAAACTCCTCCTTTTCAGCTTTCCATGTCCATTGTACCAAAATGTTCCACTTTCGTTGGCACTGAGCCCCAGAATATTTTCTGCCGTGTCAAAGTTCAAGCCAGACATAATCCATGCTACTTCACCTGGAGTTATGGTAACTGTCGAAAACTCAATATGCATTCATTGCCATTTGCCCTGTGGTTTCTCATTACCACATATCGTGATTTCAGGTTTTTGGCGCCCTTGCTATCGCAAAGATGATTTCAGTTCCATTGGTCATGTCTTATCACACACATCTTCCAGCGTGAGTTTCTTTTCCACTGCTAGGTGTCAGCTGGTTCAGTGTTGTTAAGAGATTAGCACTTTTGAATTGATTTCTTGTAACGCCTTCCAGGTACTTACCAGGTTACAATTTAAATTGGTTACTTGGGCCCACATGGAGTCTTATAAGTAAGCCCATTGTCATCACTTCTATTATGTTCTGTACAAAAGTGCGAAGCTGAGAATAAAATAAAACTGATCTTTCTCACTTAGTTTGTGCTGACATTCTTATTTTGTTTCAAAGGATGTCTCCACAGGTCTGCAGATCTTACTCTAGTTCCTTCAGTAGCTATTGCCGAGGACTTTGAAACTGCTAAAGTAGTACCAGGTTAAACAATCAAAACAAATCACTATTTATACATTTCAACCCTTCGTCTATCCTAACCATACCCACTTGCCTCTGCAGCAAACAGAGTACGGCTTTGGAACAAGGGTGTTGATTCTGAAAGCTTCCATCCTAAATTTCGGAGGCATGAAATGCGGATCAAGTTGAGGTATCTCCTGTTGCTTCAAATTCAACAAGGAAAGAGTTGAAGAAGACAACACACATGCTTATTGATTTTTCTTTTCGTCTCCTGTCAGCGGTGGTGAACCAGAAAAACCATTGATAATTCACGTGGGCCGTTTTGGGCGTGAAAAGAATTTGGATTTTCTGAAGAGGTTAGCTTTTCCCATACACAGAATATACCATCATTATTAGAAATAGAGACAATTTGAACCAAGTCCTCAGCTACCAGCTTGACCAGGATAATCCGGTCCCCACGTCTCCTGACGTCTACCACTCCATACTTGAGGCTCTTGTTGATCAAGATGCCTACGCCATTTCTGTTTGCAGTCGTCCCCGTGTACCACAGCTTGAAGCCGGTATCCTCCACCTCCTTCGCCTTCTGTCCTCTCCATTTGGTTTCTTGGACGCAAAGGATATCAACACCTCTCCTCACTGCTGCATCAACTAGCTCCCGAAGCTTCCCTGTCAGAGACCCTACGTTCCAGCTACCTAAGCGAATCCTCCTAGGCTCGGCTAGCTTCCTTACCCTTCACACTCGTCGAGTCAAATGCGAAGACCCTTGCTCATTTTCCACTACATCCGGGCGCATATGCCCCGCAAGTAGGCCACAATGAGAACACCAAGAGGGAGTTCTGGGAAGGCTTGGAAGACATGGTTAGGAGTGTACCGATTGGTGAGAAGCTCTTCATAGGAGGAGACCTCAATGGCCACGTGGGTACATCTAACACAGGTTTTGAAGGGGCGCATGGGGGCTTTGGCTATGGCATCAGGAATCAAGAAGGAGAAGATGTCTTAAGCTTTGCTCTAGCCTACAACATGATTGTAGCTAACACCCTCTTTAGAAAGAGAGAATCACATCTGGTGACTTTTAGTAGTGGCCAACACTCTAGCCAGATTGATTTCATCCTCTCGAGAAGAGAAGATAGGCATGCGTGCCTAGACTGTAAGGTGATACCTGGGGAGAGTGTTGTACCCCAGCATAAGCTGGTGGTTGCTGACTTCCGCTTTCGGATTCGTGTCCAGCGGGATAAGCGTGCCAAGGTCGCTAGAACGAAGTGGTGGAAGCTCAAGGGGGAGGTAGCTCAGGTGTTCAAGGAGAGGGTATTTAAGGAGGGCCCTTGGGAGGAAGGAGGGGATGCGGACAATGTGTGGATGAAGATGGCGACTTGCATTCATAAGGTGGCCTCGGAGGAGTTTGGAGTGTCCAGGGGAAGGAGAAGCGAAGATAAGGATACCTGGTGGTGGAATGATGATGTCCAGAAGGCGCTTAAAGAGAAGAAAGATTGCTTCAGATGCCTATACCTGGATAGGAGTGCAGACAACATAGAGAAGTACAAGATGGCGAAGAAGGCCGCAAAGCGAGCTGTTGGTGAAGCAAGGGGTCGGGCATATGAGGACCTCTACCAACGGTTAGGCACGAAGGAAGGTGAAAGGGACATCTATAAGATGGCTAAGATCCGGGAGAGGAAGACGAGGGATATTGGCCAAGTCAAATGCATCAAGGACGGAGCAGGCCAACTCTTGGTGAAGGACGAAGAGATTAAGCATAGATGGCGGGAGTACTTCGACAAGCTGTTCAATGGGGAGAATGAGAGTTCTACCATTGAACTGAATGACTCCTTTGATGAGACCAGCATGCGTTTTGTGCGGCGCATCCAGGAGTCTGAGGTGAAGGAGGCTTTAAAAAGGATGAAAGGAGGCAAGGCGATGGGCCCTGATTGTATCCCCATTGAGGTGTGGAAAGGTCTCGGGGACATAGCGATAGTATGGCTAACCAAGCTTTTCAACCTCATTTTTCGGGCAAACAAGATGCCAGAAGAATGGAGACGAAGTATATTAGTACCAATCTTCAAGAACAAGGGGGATGTTCAGAGTTGTACTAATTACCGTGGAATTAAGCTGATGAGCCATACAATGAAGCTATGGGAGAGAGTCATTGAGCACCGCTTAAGAAGAATGACAAGCGTGACCAAAAATCAATTTGGTTTCATGCCTGGGAGGTCGACCATGGAAGCCATTTTCTTGGTACGACAACTTATGGAGAGATATAGGGAGCATAAGAAGGACTTGCATATGGTGTTCATTGACTTGGAGAAGGCCTATGATAAGATACCGCGGAATGTCATGTGGTGGGCCTTGGAGAAACACAAAGTCCCAGCAAAGTACATTACCCTCATCAAGGACATGTACAATAATGTTGTGACAAGTGTTCGAACAAGTGATGTCGACACCGATGACTTCCCGATTAAGATAGGACTGCATCAGGGGTCAGCTTTGAGCCCTTATCTTTTTGCATTGGTGATGGATGAGGTCACAAGGGGTATACAAGGAGATATCCCATGGTGTATGCTCTTTGCGGATGATGTGGTGCTAGTTGACGATAGTCGGACGGGGGTAAATAGGAAGTTAGAGTTATGGAGACAAACCTTGGAATCGAAAGGGTTTAGGCTTAATAGAACTAAAACCGAGTACATGATGTGCGGTTTCAGTACTACTAGCTGTGAGGAGGAGGAGGTTAGCCTTGATGGCCAGGTGGTACCTCGGAAGGACACCTTTCGGTATTTGGGGTCAATGTTGCAGGAGGATGGGGGTATTGATGAAGATGTGAACCATCGAATCAAAGCCGGATGGACGAAGTGGCGCCAAGCTTCTGGCATTCTCTGTGACAAGAGAGTGCCACAAAAGCTAAAAGGCAGGTTCTACAGGACGGCGGTTCGACCCGCAATGTTGTATGGCGCGGAGTGTTGGCCGACTAAAAGGCGACATGTTCAACAGTTAGGTGTGGCGGAGATGCGTATGTTGAGATGGATGTGTGGCCACACGAGGAAGGATCGAGTCCGGAATGATGATATACGAGATAGAGTTGGGGTAGCACCAATTGAGGAGAAGCTTGTCCAACATCGTTTGAGATGGTTTGGGCATATTCAGCGCAGGCCTCCAGAAGCTCCAGTGCATAGCGGACGGCTAAAGCGTGCGGAGAATGTCAAGAGAGGGCGGGGTCGACCGATTTTGACATGGGAGGAGTCCGTTAAGAGAGACCTGAAGGATTGGAGTATCGACAAAGAGCTAGCTATGGACAGGGGTGCGTGGAAGCTTGCTATCCATGTGCCAGAGCCATGAGTTGGTTGCGAGATCTTATGGGTTTCACCTCTAGCCTACCCCAACTTGCTTGGGACTAAAGGCTTTGTTGTTGTTGTTGTTGTTGTTGTATGATCAACTTTATCAGCTGTCCCTATGTAGCATTTTAGCTTCAAGCGTGCTCAGGATATTACTTCTGCTATCTTGATCTTTTTGTAACAAAGTGAACACTACATGTTAGCAAACCTTTCCTATCTGTAGAGTATGTGTTTGCTACACGAGTGTCATTTTTCTGTATTGTTAGTGCTTTACTTATTTGAATTGTTAATACAGAGTTATGGAAAAGCTCCCCGGAGTAAGAATTGCTTTTGTTGGAGATGGACCATACAGGTGAGTCATTTGTCCAACTGTTAACTATTTGCTGTTTTTAGTAAGACACAAACCTGATGACATATGTGCTTACGTTCATCAGCAACTACCCGGTATTGAAAGAACATAATCTGGAGAACTTTATTCTTATCTTTTCACCCTTCCAACGTACTCCCCCCATCCCAAAATAACTGTCGCTGATTTAGTACAAAGTTGTACTTCCTCCGTCCCAAAATAAGTGTCGGTGATTTAGTACAACTTTTGGGGCGGAGGGAGTATATGCTAATTCACAAACCATATATTTGTTAAAAATATTGGCTGTGTTAGCTTACTTGCTGATGAACGTATGCCATATACGTGCCAAGTCTCAAGTGGCCAAGCATATCTTCACTGCTGACTGACTTGTGAGAAGATGGCCTTCTCACAAGTTGCGGATTAGTATTCCTTTTCTGTTTCTTTGAGTTAATTGTATACATGGTTTCGCCTGAGGGTTTGTTTCTTCAGTATTAGAAACTCAGGGTAGTACTGAACAAGATACTTCTGGACTAAGCAAGTAAGATAATGCAGCCAGTAACTAAATGTACCACATGTCCTCAAACAATAACAATGCTTAAATACCAAATGAGAACATGGTATGCTTTATTTGCAATGAGCACTGAGCAAGTGATAACCAACTTGTTGTGCTCGGCCATCTGTTTGACCCCGTTTGGTTTCCTCTTCAATTCTGGGGACGTTTACACCATCTGTTTTGTCTTGGCAGGGCTGAGCTGGAAAAAATGTTCACAGGCATGCCTGCAGTTTTCACCGGAATGCTCCAAGGGGAGGAGCTCTCGCAAGCGTACGCCAGTGGGGACGTATTTGCAATGCCTTCAGAGTCTGAGACCCTTGGACAAGTAGTGCTGGAGTCCATGGCTTCTGGAGTCCCGGTTGTCGCTGCTCGCGCCGGAGGCATACCTGATATAATACCCAAGGACAAGGAGGGCAAGACCAGCTTCCTCTTCACACCCGGGGATCTGGACGAGTGCGTGAGGAAGATCGAGCAGCTCCTCTCGTCGAAGGACCTCAGGGAGTCGGTCGGAAGGGCTGCCAGGGAGGAGATGGAGAACTGCGACTGGAGAACGGCCTCAAAGACGATACGCAACGAGCACTACAGCACCGCGACGTTGTACTGGCAGAAGAAGACGGGCAGAACGGGGTAGGCGGCGTTTATCCAGCCAGGCATTCCGTTTGCTGCCCTGTCTACTGTTATACATAACCGAAGGATTTGTACATTGTACTCAGCAGCAGCTTGCGAGCTTGTGTGGCTTGCTGCACTCATATGTCCACAGTTACGGATGATTGACCGGCCGCTTGTATGCAGTTCCTGTACATTACAAAGTTCTTTGAAATTTGGCCATTTCAGTCCTACTGCTAGTCTGTTTCTACTAATTACTACCTCTGTTTCTAAATTTAAGACGTTTTTGCAGTTCAATAAGGTTGATGCAAGGGCCCTCTAAACTCCCAATGCATCAATCTGTTTCTACTTATTAGTACCTCTGTTCTTAAATATAAGACGTTTTTGCAGTTCAATAAGGTTGATGCAAGGGCCCTCTAAACTCCCAATGCATCAATCTGTTTCTACTAATTAGTACCTCTGTTCTTAAATATAAGACGCTTTTGCAGTTCAACAAGGTTGTTGCAAGGGCCCTCTAAACTCCCAATGCATTAACCCATTCGATTTCAAGTTATAGATTTCAAAACTACCGGCCTTGCTTCCCAGTTCCAACTAGAAGAGGTGCTAATAGGCTTAAACAGCAGCTCTACCACTGTCGATCATTTTAACAGTACACGACCAACAGGAGAAACACACAAGAAACTAAAAAAAAAACTCACACCAAATGGTTCAAGATGTAATGTACACGTCAAAGCAATGCTCACAAAATAGTTTTCCACAGAGCATATACACTTCAGTTACAAAAAAAAGGCATATACACTGCCGCAACAGATTCTCCTTTCCTAAGCTCTGCATACACAATCTCAGAAAACTGAAAACTTCTATCATTCCATGTATCCGAACTCCTACAGGCACACCATGATTCTCACAAAGATCAGAGAGTTTCAGAGAAGCTGCTATTGCAGACGCAGGTGATCTCATTGCCAATTCGGAAATATGGGCAACGGATAAATCACAGAGGAGAAGCCAATTGTTGTAGCCTTTGAGATCTTAAGCAGTGCAATCATTCGTCTTGGAGCACGATCATCAGTTCTCCGCCTTGACTGAGAACGCTGTCCAGGAACGCAATTAGTTTTTCTTTGCACTGAAACTGCTTGGCCGACGGAAGATCGCTGTCCAAATTAAACCAGATGCCATCAATGCTTCGAATTGCCACCCAATGCCTCCCGGTCCACAGACCCCTCAACCTCCTCACGGGTACATTGATCATCAGACCTACCAGCGCTTCGGCATCCAGATCAATCGAAGATGCTCCCTTCCGATGATCATGCCAAACTACCTTCTTCTTTCTAGATTCTACTGCCGCGATAAGAACATTTACATCATAGTTCCCTGTTAATGCATTGTGGTGGGGCTTCCAAATCAGCGATAGAGGAGTCCATTTCTCCTTGTTTGGATCAGTAAGAACAAGATTTTCAGCAATCCCATCCAGCTCAGCTCGGGTGAACGATTCTTTTTCCTGAACCACACAAAACATAATCATGGTAAGCCCGGATTAAATGAGGTGGCGTCAGAGCAAAGAGACCGACTATGAAGTGCATGGTAAGATCATGCCACCTGTATATATGTTGATGAGTGAAAGTGCCAACCAGTTACCTCTCCGAGGATTAAATTATTGTGATATTTTTTCCTACTGATTAGATGATAAGAAATGAAAGCCAATCAGATAGCAGCTTAAGCGTGCGATCTTGGCCTCTTGCACTCACACGGCTGCAAGCGTGCACTGCCTGGTTCCCCAAATTCATGTCAACGTCAATTTGAAACGTCATTATGAAACTTGACAAAGACCAAAAGATTTGTTTCTATCCCTATCAGCTACCAATTCATGATTCACGCGCACAACTGGCAAAGCCTTCATTGTATTCGGTGGACAGAGGGCTGCAAAACGGGTGAACCACACCCACCCATAAACTTGTCGACATAACTAATGACGAACAGTGCCCACTCAATGGGCCAATAGTCGATACAGTGACCTCAATTGCTGTCTCTTTCTACCGAGAAGGAAGATCTGTACATACTCTCAATATGCCCTGATATTTCACCACAGCCTAAGTTGTGACAAGTTGGAAACAATCACACAGTAAAAAAAAATGCCCACCAAGGGCACAACGCTCCGCCACTACAACAATCTGTAGTTTCATGCCGAGTAATTTGACTACTTAGTTCGCAGATGCGGGTGCTGACTGACTGCCGATGTCCTTTGATGGGAATAATCAGGCGAACAAGAAAGCACGAGAGATAGAATCTAATTGATTGGACTCAATTACTAAACTTAGGATTACGCAAAGTTCTCAAGTGCAGCTACTCGAGAACCAAGACAAGAACACAGTAGCGCAACTAAGCAAGAGAGGAGAGGAGAAGGGTCACCTGCATAAGGTTGTTGAGGGCGTGGAGGAGGCAGAACTGCATCCTTTGCCTCTCGTGGTACACTTTGCTGCCGCCGCTGCTGCTTCCCGCCGGGGCCGGCCCTTCCTCGTCTGGCCTTACTTCTGATCTGGCTCCCGACTCCATGCTGCCGCGATTGATACCGGGGCAGCGGGGGATTGGGTTTTATCGCCACGGATTACGGACCGGACGGCGGCGGATTCCGTCCCTTCTCTCACGGCCGCACCAAACAGACGCACGGCTTCTGCGCCGCCGCCACGAGGGGAAGCCTGCCTATCGTCGTGGACGCAACAGTAAACAACCGAACGCAAAGGGGATTTGCATTCAAGGAAAAAAAAAAGGTAAATATACTAGGAGTCATAGAACTTGCACGTGACGGTCAGTTTGGTGCACAAAGTTGTAAAATACGTGTTTCTGGTCATCAAACTTGCACAAACGTTTATATACGGTCACATTTCATGTACGCAGATGTATCCATGGCCTATGTGGCATGCCAGCATGGCCAGGGCCCATTGTAAGCCCACCACGCATGGTAGATCTGTAGGCTTTTTCTTTATTTACGTATTATGCACCTATTTTTTAACTTATTAAGCCCCTAAAATAAAATAATTTTTATTTACGTGTAAAGCCCCTAAAATAAAATGGAAAAATAAGGGATGATTCGGTTAGAAACTAGGGACATGCCCCTTACTAGGCTTGGGTTAACAACCACCAAACCATGACCATTCATGTCTAGATAGCACGAATAGTTTTTATATCATATAACACGGCCGAAAAATCAATTTTGCAAGAAATGTAACCCCCAAAAAGGGAGCACCATGGCTCGACTATGTGACCTCGTGGTCAACGTTAACTAAGATTACCACCGGGCTTCGACAATACAACATATCAAATGGGATAAATATTTTTCATGTTGTTATTCCTTCTTGTTCTATGTAAGAAAAAAAATTATATTATTGTGTTTGTGATATTTAATAAATGTTTATGTGTTACAAAAAAAGGCGTGTGACATTTAAAAAAAAATAAACATTGTAAACCACATTTGTGTAATTAAAAATGATACGTTGCATTTTAAAATGTTCATGCATTCCAAAAAAACTGGTCATGACATTTTTTAAATGCCTATACAATGTATAAAACAGTTTGTGTAGCTTTAAAATGTTTCGTACCATCCGAAAATGTTAAAAACATAGTTGAAATAAGTTTCAAGACTTTTCAAAACTTGTATTTGAAAAAAATGCCAATCATACACTTAAAAAGTATTAAGCATATATTTTTTAAATACTCCAAACATAGATGTATACTGGAGTATTTAAAATATATGTGTATCAAAACATAGATGTATACTGGAGTATTTAAAACATCAAAAGATATATGTATCACATGGAGTATATGTTTCAATACACATAAGTTTCAAAACTTGTATTTGAAAAAATGTTAATATGGACGTGTTGTGTTGATTAACATTTTTCCAAATACAAGTTTTTGAAACTTTTTAAAATGCCGCGTACCTTTTTTGTAACACATAAATATTTTTTGAATGTCACAAACACAAGAATATAAATTGTTTTCTTATATCTGGACGTGTTGTGTTGTCAGTGGTAATGTTAGTTAACCTTGAGCACAAGGTCACATGGTTGAGCCACGGTGCTCATTTTTTCCATGTTACATTTCTTGTAAAAATTATTTTCAGTCAATGTTTATATGATACAGAAATTAGTCATGCTACATAGACATGAATGATCAGTAGTCTGGTGGTTGTCCACGTATGACTACTAGGGCACGTTGCAGCTTCAAGACCCCACATTGCTTGTTTTTTCATTTTATTTTTAGGGGCTTAATACGAAAATAAAAAAAGCCAAAGGCTTCTCTGCAGATCTACATGCTACAGCGGATGACAATGGGCCCTGGACACACTGGAATGCCACATAGCCCATGGATACGTCCGTGTACATGAAATGTGATCGTATATGAACGCTTGTACAAGTTTGATGACCGGAAACATGTATTTTACAAGTTTATGCACCAAACTGATCATCGCGTGCAAGTTCTATGACTTCGGGTGTATTTACCTCGAAAACAAAAGAACACAAAGGGGATTCGCACCATCTCTAGCACATCTTGTAAATCGCATCTTTCTGCAAAATAACCGCCGTTTTACATGACCAGGATAAAAAATTATCCCCCTAAAAAAAGATAAAAAATTGTCCCGACCAAGTCCTGTAACAGTTGCATATTTCGTCCCCATCCGTCATATATCCAGGATTTCTCCCTTCTTTTACAAGGCCCTCTATCCTTGACGAGAGTGAAAGTTCAGCCCCAACCGCTTCTATTCCGCGCCTCCACCGCCACTAAGCTCGCCGCCGCCTCACCGTTGCTCCCTCCTCGGCCGGCCGCACATCGCCATAGAGCAGCCAGAGCCTCCTGCATCCAATCGAGGGCATCTCCAAGGTGGAGAGCGTCGTTTGGCACATCACCGGCAACGCCATCGGGGACGTGGTGGTGCAAGGAGACGAGGCCGTCCGGAGGTCGGACAAGGAGGTCGGGTTCCTTGGCCGCAACACTACCAAAGCCGCCGGCCACGGCCGGGTGCAACAGCTCACCGAGGCGGCTTCCGCGCTGCACGTCGTGTACAAGACAGAGGCGGAGGCGATGCCCTTCGAGGGCCTGCTCAACGGGTCACTGCTTGGCCTCCAGGTGTTAGAACAATTGTATAGGGATAGGACTAGTCTTTAACTTGTAATCCTTTTCTATCTCTTCTTCTGTTTCCTCTTCCTCATGTTACAACTCTGTACGATTGATCTTCAACTTGTAAGCCACGGCACCTTCCATATATATACAATGCGGCCCGAGAAAAGGGTTTAACGCTTCCCAAACTATTTTACATGGTATCAGATTCATACCGCAAGCGGTGGAGGTATGGATATTTGTCATATTGGTCAAGCATCTATTAATTCCCCTACTTTAAAACGTGATCTTGTGCTAAAAGATGTCCTTCATGTTCCACAAGCCGACAAAAACCTTGCATCTATGTCGCGTCTTTCTGCCGATAATAATGTCTTCTTTGAAACTCATCCCAAGTATTTTTTATAAAGGATCGGGCCACGAGGGAGCTCATTCACCACGATAGATGCATTGGAGGCTTGTATCCCATTACATCTGGAGCATTTAGTCGAAAGCGTCGTCGTCATCAAGTCTTCTCCGTCATCAAGCCTTCCTTGGTAAGGTGGCATCAAAGATTAGGACATCCTTCTTCGGTCATAGTTGAACAAGTAGTGAATAAAGACAATCTTCCATTGTCATCTAGTCAAGATGTTGAGTCTGTTTGTGATGCTTGTCAATGTGCAAAAAGTCACCAACTTCCCTATCCTAGGTCAAATAGTGTTTCTCATGCTCCGTTGGAACTTATCTTTAGTGATGTATGGGATCATGCAAGAGATTCTTTTGGAAGAAAAAAAATATTATGTTAGTTTTATTGATGACTATAGCAAATTTACTTGGATATATTTGCTCAAATTCAAATCTGAAGTTCTCTCTATTTTTCAAGAATTTCAAAAACTTGTTGAACGACAGTTTAACAGGAAGATCATTACAGTCCAAAGTGACTAGGGAGGGGAGTATGAAAAACCCAACTCTTTCTTTCGAAGCATTGGCATTGCTCATCATGTCTCTTGCCCTCACGCTCATCAATAAAATGGCTCCGCCGAGCGTAAACATCGTCATATCGTTGAAGTAGGCCTATCTCTTTTGGCTCATGCATCCATGCCGCTAAAATATTGTGGTCAAGCTTTTATTGCTGCCACATATCTTATTAACCGTCTTCCTAGCAAAGTAACTGGCAATATTACTCCTTTGGAAAAATTGTTTCATCAAAAAATAGATTATAATTATCTAAAAATCTTTGGGTGTGCTTGCTACCCCAATCTTCGTCCATATAATCGACACAAACTCGAGTTTCGTTCTACCCAATGTGTTTTCCTTGGATATAATAATCTTCACAAAGGGTACAAATGTCTTGAGGTTTCTACTGGACGCATTTATATTTCTCGTGATGTTGTTTTTTATGAGACAATATTTCCTTTTGCCAAGCTTCATCCAAATGCCGGAGCTCTTCTTCGTGTAGAAATTGCACTTCTTTCTGACTACTTGCCTAGTACAGATCACGGGAGCGAGTTACATAGTGTTGATCATATGACTAGTTCCATGGACAAAGAAAATATTAATTTTGATGATGAATGTGCATATTTGGGGCGTCATTTTATGTCAGCGGGTGTGGACAAAACAGCCACGGGATCCCAGGATGATCCTAGCAGCAACGGCGGCGTAGGATCTGGTGAAGGCGCGCGATCCCAGGGCGATCTCAGCCTAGGCACGCGATCCTAGGGCGATTTGAGCCCGCTGCGTGCATCCAGTGCTGGGGTGGCCAACAGCCCGAGAAGTGTGGGCCTCACCAGCCCAGCGAGCGCGGCCCGGTGTGACTCACCGAGTGCCACGCACACGGTCGATGGGGCCGCGGCCGACCAGGCGGCAGGCACAGGGCCCGATGCATCCGCCACGCGGCGTGTTCCCTCTGGTGTGACGATCG